TCCTCCTCCTCTCCCTCCTTCCCTTCCCCTCACATACATGGTAGGTGTCGCTGGAGACTGGCATGACTCAGCTGGGAGGTCACTGCATCTACTACGCGCTCGCTGACTCGCCGCTGGGAAAGAAAGAGTCTATTCTTGACACAGCCAAGGTGACGGGGGAGGAGAGAGGGGAAAGAGAGGGGAAGGAAGAGAGGAGGAGGAGAGGAGGAGAGGGAAGGAGAGGGAAGGGAAGGGGAGAGGAAAGAGAGGGAAGGGAAGGGGAGAGGAGAGGGAAGGAGAGGGAAGGGGAGAGGAAAGGGAAGGGCAACGAGGAGAGAAAAGGAAAGGAGGGAGGGGAGGGAGGAGGGAGGATTGGAGAGGGCAAGGGGAGATTGGCGAGGGATGTGGAGAGACGAGGAGATTTTGAAACGTTAGATGCTGCAGGTGGTGTCGAGGTATGTAGATGTGATGACTGCTCGACTCAAGACAAGACAAGCGGTGCTCCTCCCTCCCTGCCTTCCTCTTCGATTCTCCTCTTTCCTGTCCTCTCGTAGCCTTGCCTGATTTCCTTCGAGCATCTTTGATTTCTTGATGTCTTCCTCTCCCTTTGGCCTTCATCGTCTCACTTCACACAGATCGAAGAACTCGCTGAGAACGCCACCATCCCTGGTATACAGCATCATCCTCATCACCACTACCATCGCTGCTTCGCTCTCTCCTCCTTCCCCTCTCTTGTTTCCTCACTGCTCTCCTTCTGCCTTTCTTTTTGACGCTACTTGGCAGTTGTGAATGCTCTCGACGATTATGGTCATCCGTGCCAGGTCCTCACTCACTCACTCACTCACTCACTCACTCACTCACTCACTCACTCACTCACTCACTCACTCACTCACTCACTCACTCACTCACTCACTCACTCACTCACTCACTCACTCACTCACTCACTCACTCACTCACTCTGCTTCTCATGGTATTTGGCAGATGCTCGCCGATTTTCTCACCATCATCGAGCATTATGGCTCCTACGAGGGGATGAAACTCGCCTTCGTTGGCGACTGCCAGGTAGAGAGCGAGAGGAGGATGAACTCGGGAGCGAGGGAGAGGGAGCGAGGGAGAGGGAAAGAGAGGAAGAGACGGGAGGACGGGGGCAGGCAAATGACACAAGGACAGAACAACATGACGTACGACCTGATGCGTCTGGGCTGCATCATGGGATTCCACGTTACAGTTGCCGGGCCAGCAGACAAGGGATTCAATGTGGAGTGAGTGAAGGAGGAGGAGGAGGCGGAGGAGGAGGAGGAGGAGGAGGAGGAGGAGGCGATGGGTGGAGGTGAAGGGGACGCGAAGGGGAGGAGAGGAGAGGAGAGGAGAGGAGAGGAGAGGAGAGGAGTTGATCAGTGATATGAGGGGCAGGTGGAGTGTGGTGAAGGAGTGCGAGAAGCTGCTTGAGGAGAACAAGGGAGGATCGTTCAAGATCAGCAACAGCAAGGACGAGGCTGTCGCTGGCGCCAACATCGTCTACTGCGACTCGTGGATGAGCTACGGGATCCCTCAAGATGAGCGACAGGAGAGGTTCAAGGCCTTGATGCCCTACCAGGTATTCCCTCCTCCTCCTCATCATCATCATCATCATCATCATCATCATCATCATCATCATCATCATCATCATCATCATCATCATCATCATCATCATCATCATCATCATCATCATCATCATCATCATCGTTCTCACTCTCACTCCCTCTTCTTCTTCCGCCTCCTCCCACCTTCCCTTGTCATGTTTGTCGCCAGGTGACAGGAGAGACGATGAAGTTGGCGGACAAGGGCGCGATCTTCATGAACTGTCTGCCTGCTGTGCGAGGAGAGGAGCAGACGGCTGAGGTGAAGAAAAGAGGAGGAGGAGATGAGGATGTCGAGCATGCGGCAGGTGCTGGATGGACCGCAAAGCGTCATCTACGATCAGGCGGAGAACCGACTTCACGCGCAGAAGGTGCGAAGAGGAGGAGGAGGAGGAGGAGGAGGAAGTTGAGAAGGGGGTTGGGGAGGCGGGGGGAGGAGGAGAGGTGGAGGTGGAGGAGGGGAAGGGTTTTCTGCTTGCTGATTCTCAGCAGGCGCTCCTCACTCTCCTCGTCAACGGCTTTGACTACAAGCTGTAAAGCGACAAGAGGACCTGAACCTCGAGGATGAGACTTATCACTCTTAGTTGCCTGCCAACGAGAAGAAGAGAAGAAAGCAGAGGCGGTAGAGGAGGAGGAGGAGGAGGAGGAGGAGGAGGAGGAGGAGGAGGAGGAGGAGGAGGTTGGTGCCCTCGCTGGATTCTCCCATCAACTTATTTGAAGGCAAAGAAGATCGCAATGAAGAGCCCCAGAACTCCCAGCACGTAGAGAACCCTGTGACCTGTCACTCCCTCCCTCCCGCCCTCCTTGCCTCCCTCCCTCCCCCTCCCTCCCTCCCTCCCTCCATTCCTTCCCTCCCTCTCGCGCAGCTCTTCCTCTCATCGTCTCACCCGAACGTCTCCGCTATCCTCTTGTTCACTTCTGACTCGAAGTTTTGCCGGAACGCGAGGAAGCCGAAGCTGAGGCCCGCGAAGAAACCTCCGCCATGCACCCAGTTGTCGACCTGACCTGCGAGTCACGCGAGAGGAGGAGGATGAAGCTGTCGACCGGAGCGAAGAAACCGATGATTATGATGAGGACGAGGAAGAGCAGGAGGGAACGGAACTTGATCGTCATGCCCTTGCCAGGTCTAAGTCAGACCTCACCGAGTACCAAGCAGGGGCAAACGAGGAGAACAAGATAGAAGCGAAACTTGCTGAGAAGACTGTCATGACCATAGAATGAGGTGATGGGGATGACGAAGATGAGCAGCAGGAGCAGGAGCATCGGGATAATGAAAATGTTGACGTTGGCGGAGATGATGATAGAGGAGGAGGAGGAGACCCTTGTCGGTCGATATCTTCTTGGGGCACGTAACATCGAGAGCAGCTGTCAAGTCTCGTCAGTCTTTGACCCGCACAAGTCTTCATCTACCCGACATCAATCTCGACGACTTCGGTTGTTGTGCCCTCCTCCTACACCACCAGACCAGCGTCAATCTCACCCTACCCTCCTCTCCTTTCCCAACTCCCTTCCTAACCATCTCCTGCATACCCACGCTCTCGCTTCCTCGTCCCTCTCCTCACCTCGGCGAGCTCAACTCCCATCGTGTTCTCTGCTTCCTGCAGAGACTTTGAGCGCGAGAGGAGGAGGAGGGGCGAGACCTGCAGGGCAATGGCGATCTGCTGGTCGTACGAGTCCGGAGAGAAGGCGAGGGCTGCAGGAAAGAATCAAACATGAGCGCGAGCAGGAAGAGAGAGAGCGAGAGCATGAGAGCACGAGAGGAGTGGAGTCTTTGTTACCTTGCTGCAACGCTCGCGCGACTGCCTCGTCCTCACTTACATGGTTGGTTGCTGGACTCTGATGGCAGGTATGAGACAGGAGGAGCGAGGAGAGAGGGAAGAGAGAAAACTGACGTGTCGCGCTTCCATGGTGCCTCGTCGTCTACTGGGGAGAGAGCGAACTTGTAGTTGCCATCGGAAAGCTCGAGAAAGAAACCAAGAGAGTGGGGGGAGACGGAAAGAAAATCGAGATGAGAGGAGAGGGAGAGGAGGGAATGGAATGGAAGGGGAGGGAGGGGAAGGGAAGGGAAGGGAGGGGAAGGGAAGAGAAGGGAAGAGAAGAGAAGGAAAGGGAAGGGAAGGGAAGGAAAGGGAGGGGAGGGAAGATGTGATGTGCTCGATCACTGCTGGTCAGAGCTACAGCACTAAATTGAGACTTTCAGTTACATTTTGAAATTAACACTGGATATTTCACACTACAAGTTCACTTCCAGGATCAGTGAGCACTCAACACTTGCTCTGCTCTTGACTCCCTCAAGCGAGTTTCGATACCATTCCTTGCTTCCCCTGCCTCCCTGCCTCCCTGCCTCCCTGCCTCCCTGCCTCCCTGCCTCCCTGCCTCCCTGCCTCCCTGCCTCCCTGCCTCCCTGCCTCCCTGCCTCCCTGCCTCCCTGCCTCCCTGCCTCCCTGCCTCCCTCCCTCCTTTCCTACTTACCTATCTACAACGTATCAGCTCTCCTCTGTTGTCTATCCTCGCTACTAGAGCACGAAGCTGCTCGCATCACTTCACGTGACGGTCTCGATCTGGTCGCTCGGCGGAGGAGAGGAGAGGTTGAACTTGTTGCGAATGAACATGGCGATCCTCTTCAGCTTCTGTCTTCCTTCTTCCGTCTCGTTCAACGTCGCGAAGTGCTCAGAGAAAAGCTGCAGACGCTCTCAACCTCTCGCCTCCTCCTCCTCCCCGACTACTCACCATGTCCTTCTTGTGCGTCAGCAGCAGCTCGTCAGCGCTCAGCTCCTCCCCCAGGAAGCTCTTGAGCTGCATGTACGTCATCCTGCCATGCGCAGAGCCGCACGCGTGTCAGCACGAAGCACAAGGAGTCGAGGGAAGAGAGATGGAAGAAGCAAGAGGGACGAGAGGGGGGAAGTGCTGCCCGGAGACGAGCAGGATGGCTGGTAGGTAGGAGAGGAGGCAGAGAGTCAGGAGCGAGGGAGCACACTCTCACCAAGCGCTTCTGTCCGCGTGGATCCTGTCCCAGTCGCCGGCGTCGAGGATCTCCATGGTGTGGGACGTGGACCTCAGACGCTCCTGCTCCAGGTGCTTCACTGACGTCACTCGCACCAGGCTCGACTCCTCCAGCCGCCCGTCGGTGGAGCGCCGGCAGATGCGATGGTAGCGGACAATGCGGGGAAAGGAGAGGCGGAGGAGGTCGTCGACGATCATGCACAGGAACTCGAGGTCGGAGGAGGGAAGCTCGAACTCGCAGCGGGCCGCGCGTGAGAGGATCTCCTCCGGATTGCGGTGGAGGAGGCGGCCGAGCCCATGCCCGACCTGCAGGCCCTTGCGGATGAGGTAGTCATCCTCCCAGAAGACCGTCCACGACCCTGCCGCCTGCCGCCCCTCCACCAGCATCGCGCTCGCTTGCCCTGTACAGTCCGCACCAGAATGTAGGAGGTGATTGATGCTGGAGGGGGAAGGAGAGGGGGAGGGAGAGGGGGAGGAGGAAGGGGTGGGGGTTGTGGAGGCTAATTTTGCCTGTGCCTGCAGGCTGACGAGGAAGGCCATGACGTCGTTCATGGTCTGAAAGAGCTCCTTCCCCATGCTGTTGAACATGTACAGGATCGAAGTCCCCGAGTACCCGGCTTGAGACATCCTCATCGCCAGCAGCTGCAGGTGGCCCAGCGAAGGGTCAGCAACGTGCGATGCTCGGTCTGTCGACAGCCGCACGGAGAGCTGAAGGGGCCAGGGAGTCTCGGGCTCAGCTCGAGGAGACAGCCGAGCTGGGAGCGGGACTTGAGGCGATGACAGCTCATCGTTGCTGTGACCGGCAGCGTCTTGACAAGCTTCAGCTCGGGCTCGTCGCAAGCAGGTGCCGCATGGTCTCAGCTTGTCGCACTTGAGCTTCGACTGCCTGCAGGGCTCGCAGGTGGAGATGCCGAAGACAGCGTCGCAGCCGTCTTCGAGCCCGAGTCTCGAGCAGTGATGGCATGGCCTTCTCTTGTCGCACCTGACCTTGTGCCTGCGACACCTCGAGCAAGACTTGCCTTGGCTGCCCTGCTGCTCCTTGCGATACCAATTCAAGGGCACCGACATCAGCCCTGCTCCTGCCTTGATGCGCGTCAGGCACTAGACGAGGAAGATCGACACACTAGTTGATGTCCATACAGACACGCCAGCCACTCAGCTGAGCCACTCATCTCATCAACATATCAATCGCATCCTCTGATCTTATCAACCTCTCAGTCGCATCCACTGACTTTCACAAAAGCCTCTTGTTCTTCTTCTTGAGCTCACGTCCCGTCGCAAAAACAAACAAACATCTTTCATATGCATGCTGCCTCCCGTGCTCCGCTGCTGACCTGCTGCTTTCTCTGGTCCCATCCCATCCCGTCTCATCTCCCCTACATTGCTCTCGTCGCTGTCTCCCCTCCTTTGTTCTTCTCCCTGTAGTCCCCCTATCTCTGGGTCGCATCGCCTCTTCTCCCCCCCCCTCTCCTCTCCCCTCCTCCCTCCTCCCCGCCCCTCCTCTCCCCTCCTCTCCCCTCCTCTCCCCTCCTCCCCCTCCTCCCCTCCCTCCCCTCCCCTCCCCTCCCCTCCTCTCCTCTCCCCTCCCCTCCTCTCCCCTCCTCTCTTCATCGCCCATCTCGTCTCTCCATCCTGCATCCTCCTAGAAAACTGACGAAATCATTTTGAATGTTCAAAGTTTATCTCCAATTTTGAAATCTTCACGTAAGTTTTGAAATGTCAGCTGGAAGGATCTGTGGCTATGGCGCCGGTTTCGTCGATGAGGACACGCCGAACAATGAGCACGAGTGAGTGAAAGAAACAACAGAAGGAGCAGCAGCAGCAGCAGCAGCAGCAGCAGCAGCTGGAGCTGGAGCTGGAGCTGGAGCTGGAGCTGGAGCAGGAGCAGGAGCATGGGGCAGGGGTAGGGGCAAGAGCAGGAGCAGGAGCAGGAGCGGGAGCAGCAGCAGCAGCAGCAGCAGGAGCGGGAGCAGCAGCATGGGGCAGGGGTAGGGGCAGGAGCAGGGGCAGGAGCAGGAGCAGGAGCAGGGGCAGGAGCAGGGGCAGGGGCAGCACCAGCACAAGCACCAGCACCAACAGGATCAGCGGGATCAGAAATGGGAAGGAGGAGAGGATTACGAAAAGAGGAAGAGCGGGCGAGATTTCCATCCATTCCTCCCTCCCTCTCTCCCTCTCTATTTCTCTTGTCTGATCTGATATGACAGTCTCGTTCTTTCTCTTGTCTGATCTGATATGACAGTCTCGTTCTTTCTCTTGTCTGATCTGATATGACAGTCTCGTTCTTGTTCTGGTTGTCTTTGGCAGTTATCATCTGGAACTTCTTTCAGGTGCAGCTTGTGTTCCCTTCGTCTCTCCCTCACTCTGCTTGTCTGTCGCAGGCGTTGTTCGTGAGTGCCTTCCTCCGCATGCTGACCTGGCCCTTCATCTTCATCCACTGGCTCCTCACGTTCCTTCCTCCCTTCGAGGAGACCCCCGGGCTCTCGTGAGCGTCGGCGAGTTGGCGGGTCGCGTCTGAACCTCAAGCAGTGTGAGGGGAGAGTCGGTCTCAGCCAAGCTCTACATGCGATGCTGGGAAGCGATCAAGCTCTTTTCTGATCAAACGTTAGGTACTTGAACTTCCTTCCTCCTCCCCTCTCTTCCTCGTTCCCTACCTCCACTCCCTCTCTTCCTTCCTCCCCTCCTCTCCCCCCTCCCTCTCTTCCTCTGTCCCTCTCCCCATCCATCCATTTTGCTCACTCTTTCTGGCTTGGCTGCAGGAAAGCTTCATCACCCGGACTTGGAATTCTTCGTCAACTCCTTGTTCCTCCTCTTTCTCGCCATCGACATCCACGTGAACCTACCTCTCTCCTCTCTCCGTCTCCTACCTCTCTCACCTCGCTGAGTCTGCTGGGTTCAGGTTCGAGTGAAAAAAAGGTTTCTTGCTCTTGCTTTGCTCTCCTGTCGTTTCCTCCCCCACCCTTCTCCTCCTTTCTCGACTGAAAGATCTTCTGGCCACAAGCTTTGGGCTCGCTAGCAGCAGTTCAACCCGACTGTCTCCTCCTCCCTTTCTCTGGTGCGAATGTCGTTCTACTGGCAGCAAGTAATGGAGAGTAGGAGGAGGTTCGTGCTTGACGGGGCCATCAACTGCGTGCTCTACGTCACTGCATTCTTCTTTGTCTACAGGTCCTCGTTGACTCCTCCCCATCCCCTCCTCCCCTCCTTCAGTCCGATCCACCTTCTCGACTTCTCTCCTGCCTGTCGCTTCTGACTCACTGCTCTGGCAGTCGTCTTTCTCGCCCTCCCTCGGGGAACTCCCAGGTAAGTCGCTTCTCCTCCTCTGCTCTCTGCCAGCTGATGGTCGGGCAGGGAGGGCTGGAGGCGTTTCTCTACATGCTCTCCGAGGCTCTCGAGGGTCTCGCGCTCTCCCTCCATAAGATTCTGGTGAGCGACCAGGGGGTCGAGGGCGCGTGACGCGCGGCAGGTGCAAACGAGCAGGTTCGAGCTGCGACTCCTCTGGTCCTCTTTCACCAGGACCGTCGCTGACTCAGTCGACATGGTAGTCGCCTGCTCGCCTCCCTCGGCTGCTCTGACTGCCTCCTAGACCTGGGAACTTTCTCGCCTCGCTGAAATGTGGCCGACCAGGTAGACTTGCCGCCTCCTCTTCCTCGCCTCCCCTCACGCTCTTTCAGTCTGCTCGCTCCTAGACTAAAGGCTCTCTGCTGGATCAGCGCGAGCTGCAGCATGCTGGACCTGATGCTCTTCTGCTCCTCGGACTCGCGGAGACTCGTGGTCAAGCTCGTCTTCCTCTCTCTCCTTCACTCCCTCCGCCCTCTCCTCTCCCACGTCTCTCCTCCTGCTCTTCTCGTTTCCGCCTGGACCATCTCTGACGGTGCTGCCGCAGGATCTGATGTTGGGGAGCCATGTGCGGAGGAGCAGAGGAGGAGACGAGTGGCAGGTGAGGAGGGAGAGGGAGACAGGCTGCTCACTGGCACAAGTTTGAAGTTCCGTGGGACTTCACCATGAGGCTGGCAATCGTCTCTTCCCTCTTCCTCAACCGGTTCTGCTCTCCTCCACCTCAGCCTCTGCCCCCATCCTCCCCTCCCTCATCCACACACATCCATCCTTGCCCTCCCCTCCTCTCATCCTTCCCTTCCTTGTTCTTCGACTCTTCCTTACACGTTTGCTCGCAGTTGGCCGCAATGGGGAGTGTTGATGAGCATAACTCTGTTTGTCCCTTACTTGCTCTTCTTTCTCTCCTCTCTGCTCACAAGGTGAACCGCTCAGCCTCCCAGTCGTCTCCTCATTTGTTTTCTTCTTCCCTTCCCTTCCCTTCCCTTCCCTTCCCTTCCCTTCCCTTCCCTTCCCTTCCCTTCCCTTCCCTTCCCTTCCCTTCCCTTCCCTTCCCTTCTCTTCTTTTCTTTTCTCTTCTCTTCCCTTCTCTTCTCTTCCCTTCTCTTCTTCTCTTTGGGACTCTCCCGCAAGAACTTCTCGTGAGGATGATCGTCAGCGAAAAATCCGCCAGGAACAGCAGATGCGCCTTAAGGTGCCTCGTGCTCGTCGTCGTCATCATCATCAACAACAACAACAACAACAACAACAACAACAACAACAACAACAACAACAACAACAACAACAACAACAACAACAACAACACTGCTCCTCATGCTCATACTGTTTCTAGGAGCTCGCAGCTGAGAAAGCGAAGGAGCCCAAGGAGGCCGGCGCAACTCAATCATTGGGGCTTGCGGCTCGAGCGGTGGAGGTTGGGCAGAGGAGAAGAGGAGGAGTGAAACGTGTGCAGGAGAAGTACATGCCCTCTCTCTTCAAGACCGCGATGGGACACGATTGGTCTGCGGCAGGAGCAGGAGAAGCCTCGAGCGGAGAAGGGAGGGGGAGCAGGAGGGGAGGGCTCAAGGTGAGGCAGGAGAGCAGGAGATGAAGCTGACGGGGTCTCAGAGGGAGGGCAACATGTTGAGGATTGAGACGGTGTCGGAGTGGAAGCGACTCAAGGGAGGAGAGGAGACCTCTCTCTGCGCGCAAGGGCAGTCCCTCGCCGTCTTCTTCCTCAGTCACCCCGCCAGCGTCGCCAGTCAGCGCGTGCTCGAGCTTGCTGAGTCCCGTGCGGCCCGCGTGCAAGGGCTAGTGATGTGCAGCATGCGGGTGAGGGAGGGGAGGGGGGGGGGGGCTGAAGGTGACGAGAGGGAGCAGGTGGACGAGTGTCTGGATGAGCTCGCGCGTGAGGGCGTGAGATTCTCCGGGCAGTTTCCCGTCCTGCACGTGTACAAGGACGGGCAGAAGAAACATCAGGTAAGCGAGCCAAAGACCGTGAGGATGCTGAGTGCTGTCAGGTTGTTGGAGGAGATCTGAAAGCCTACGAGCAGCTGCTGTCAAGCTACGAGGAGGGGGGGGAGGAGGCGAGGCGAGGCGAGGATGGTCTCCTCCCCCCCCGAGGAAGCATCGGAGAGGTGAAGACGCTCGGAGACTTTCAGCAGCTGCTCGAGCAGGCGAGGGATCGAGTTGTCGTTGTTGACTTCACCGCTTCCTGGCAGGCCCTGCCTCTACTCGACCTCAGCTGAATCCCTGACAGGTGCCAACCCTGCAAGCGGATGAAGCCAACGCTAGAGCGACTGGCAGCAAGACATGAGGAAGGAGTGTTTGTGACGGTGAGAAGAGGGGAAAGGAGACGGGAGGAGAGGGGAGACGGAGAAGGATAGAGGAAGGAAGCAAAGAACTGATGCTGATGGGACAGGTGGACGTGGACGAGAACGATGAAACTGCATCCTTCTGCCACATCGAGTCCATGCCGACATTCCTGGTGAAAGAGGAGGCAGAAAGTGTCTAGCGCTAAAGTTCGCTTCACAGCTGTACAAGGGAGGAGAACAAGTTGGGTCAGTGCTGGGAGCGAGGGAGGCGGAGCTGAGAGAAGCCGTAGCTCGTCTGTTTTCATGACCTTCTGGATTGGGGTGAAGAAGACTTGGATTGCCCCTTCTCGTGCTGCTGCTGCTGCTGCTGCTTCTCCTGCTTCTCCTGCCAGCCTTGATCAGCAATGCTCGTCCCTCGGTCCACATCACCTCTCTGGCTCCCTTGTCCTTGCCTGTCGAATGCGTGCAGGTTTCTCCGGTACATCTGAAATCTCTTGAGCTCGAACGCAACAATGGGAGGGAGGTCGAGGCGAACAATGGGAGAGGAACGAGGAGGGAGAGGAACGAGGAGGGAGAGGAAGCAGGAGGGAGGGGCTTCACCTCGGCCAGTGATCGGGTTTGTCGCACATGGAGAGGTCTGAGAGGCCATACTTGCACGCCTTCACCATCACACTCCATGTCTGGCGCTCTCTTCAACTTCTCTTGCTCCCACTCCCTCTCCTCACCTCTTCCGGGATCGCCCCCCCCGAGTCCGGCAGCACGAGGTCTTTGTTGAGAAGCTCCTTGCTCGAGTCGGATGGCGATGTGATCACGATGCTGTTCTGCTGCCCATCTTTGAGCTCCAGCCACGACTGGCAAGCATGCAGCATCCCCACACATCTGCCGGGCAGTCGTCATGCAACCCAAGACGCGGCCGGTCATGGCAGGGCGGAAAAGCGAAGCTTGACTTGCCTGGCTTGTTCCACGGCAGTGAGCTGCGGGCGATCTTGAGAGCTCAGCTGCATCTCGCGAGCCCTATGGCTGCGCAGGAGTGAGAGGAGGGATGCATCAGGTCCTTCACCTTGCTGGCAGCGAAGTCACTCTGATCGCCACCTTCCTCACGACGTTGACGGGGCCACGTCGAAGCTTCTTCCTAAAGGACAATGACCGCAACCATCGGCAGACGCTCCCTTACCTGCTGAGAAGAACCCTAGGCCTCGAGGCAGCCATCTCATCAACTTGTTGCTTCATGCTCCCTGCTCGAGAAGATCTCTGAGCGATCTAACAAGAAAGTCACTTCGAGCACAGCCATGCCACCTCGTCCCTGACTCACCAAGAGAACCCCGGCGAGCAGTGCCACGGCCAAGCCAGCAGCAACCACTGCAGCATCTCAAGTCATGCCCTCCATCCTCTTCTACTTCTCCTCCTCTCCTTCTCCTCTCCTTCTCCTCTCCTTCTCCTCTCCTTCTCCTCTCCTTCTCCCTTCCTCCCTCCCTTCGTACCTGCCGACCGCATTTTCAGAACCCCAAGTGTCGTGAAATGAGGGTGATGAGTTATCTGCACCGGTCACCATCGGATCCGACAAGGGCCCGGGGAGACTAGTGACCCGGGACCGTACGGTACTTCGCCGCGTACTATCACTCTGGCACCCGGCCCGGGGTGATCAGCCCGGCGGGCCCGGGTGACTGAATCTTGAAGTTGCGATCAGAGCTCTGATCAGGAGGACGCGGCTCTGATCAGTGCTCTGAGTCTCCTCTCAGGCCCTGGCACAGGAGAATCTCACCGTCTCACTCAGAGGCGCACTGAGTCGCCGGTTCCTGTCCGAACTCTTGTCACAAGTCCCAGCTGAGCACTGCGGCATAAAGATTCTGACATGAGGAGACACATGGATGGTGACGTCGAGGCTGCAAAAGTCCGCCGAGTATGTGATCTTACCCAATGTTGTGCAATGTCTTGCCCAATGTTGTGCAGGTGACGGAATACAAGTTTGTTAGACTTGTACTAGTCCAAAGTCACGCAGATATCACATCGACCTTAGTTGTAACAAGACAGTTTTTGCTCAAGACCGAGTTTAATGCACACAAATCCAGAATTGAGGAGCACATGAGAGATAGACTGTATGCTAAGATGTGAAACCCAAGCATCCAGACATGAGAGGACCTTAGCAAGACGGCTAGGAAAGCCCCCTCTTCGTCCACACACGCTACATTGGCCGCCTTGCAAACACGTAAGTCGTCTTGGTTTACAGGAGAGTTTTTGTTAACTCGGCGCTATCTGACTGGCACGGCTGGCATACGTTCCATCCTCCCCCCGAGTTTCTGAAATAGTACGTCACATCGGACGTCAGAAAGTCACACAAACAAGAATGTCAGCAGATCCAAGTCAAGATACGACGATACAACGTCAAGTTCACAGTCATGCTGAGTGGGCAATAACCATTCAAGGATTGTCCATTCTGAAGAAGATTTTCATGCAGGGCTATTAGATGTGCAGTGCAGAGATAAGGGAGATGCCTGGCGAGCTGATGCAATGACGAGAGAAGGAGGATAAGATAAGAGAGTCTGAGGAGAGAACTTCGGAGTTCAGATAACAGAGAGAGAGAGAGAGAGAGAGAGCGTGCCCGCCGGCATTTGAAGACCAAAAGATAAATTTTGAACCGTAAAGAACTTGTGACCAGAGATTGCTGCCGCGAGATTGGAACATCCGTTTCAAGGCATCTGAAGATTGTTGTGCAGTAGTACCTTGTTCGCCGATCCAGAAGTAGCTCCAGTTATGCATGCCACAGCCTAGCTCCATGACATGAAAACTTCCGCCAGATCTCCTGGTAGTTCCATTTGATCCTACTCAAAGATCAAGAAGATTAAAATCGAATCAGCTTCAAGTGCGTTTCCACACGGTTAAGCAGATATTCGACCGACCAATCTGGCTGGGGAAGGCTTGTTTTTCCAATTCGAAGATCAATCAAACAAATTGAGGCTGAGATGAGAGGCCTAAACAACTTGCGGCTAGAAAGAGAGCCTGATTGAAGAGAGGAGTCATCCGAATGTGTAAAGCTTGATAGAATTTGCATGAATTTTCAACAGCAACGGGAAAACAATACCAAGAAAGAAAAAAACTCCAGTAAACAATTCAACTAACCAAATATAAGATCAACATGATTGAGCATGTAATCGGGGCCCATAACCGACGGAATACAAGTTTGTTAGACTTGTACTAGTCAAAAGTCACGCAGATATCACATCGACCTTAGTTGTAACAAGACAGTTTTTGCTCAAGACCGAGTTTAATGCACACAAATCCAGAATTGAGGAGCACATGAGAGATAGACTGTATGCTAAGATGTGAAACCCAAGCATCCAGACATGAGAGGACCTTAGCAAGACGGCTAGGAAAGCCCCCTCTTCGTCCACACACGCTACATTGGCCGCCTTGCAAACACGTAAGTCGTCTTGGTTTACAGGAGAGTTTTTGTTAACTCGGCGCTATCTGACTGGCACGGCTGGCATACGTTCCATCAGCAGGCCGGGCTTTTCCTGCACCTGCATTACACTTGTCTACAAGCACAACGTCGTATCCTCCAAGTTGAAGCCACTTGGCACACTGCACTAAACTGCATGGAATATCCGAGAAACGTTTTGAAAACCAGTCAGGTGGCTCGAACCCCAGCCCTGCTCCTACTGGCATACTAGAGTTGACTTTGAACGTGGTAAACTTTTACTACCGTTGGCTGAGCGCTAGCAGCCTCCGAAGACGGGAGGAAAGCCGAAGTTAGGAGGGCACAACACCCTCCTCAGCCGAACAAGGTGCCACTGACCAGAAACGCCCGGACCTCCGGCTCGAACTCTTCCAGCTTTGCCATCTCAGCGTCAAGAAAGACTTGGAAGCATTCCGAATCCTCCTCCTCCCGTGGGGCATCTCCCATCGACCGCACCTCTTGGTTCAGGTCATACTCCTGCACATCCCCATCCGTAAACGCCACTCGGATCCGCTGCGGGTGAGGGTCTGAACTCACTTTCCCAATGTACCAACTCGCCCGATTTTCTTTCGTATCGACGAATTGGCACGCGACGACAGAGGACCTCTGATCCCTGAGGGTATCTATCAATGCTGAAGGAAGCACACTCTGAATCCTCGTCTTCCACACCTCCAACAAGCTCTCCGTCCATACATGCTCTTTGAAATCATCGCAGCTTATGTGATTTGTCCTTGCCCTCATGTAACACTGTAGCAGTAGGAGCATCAATTCTTTCGCATCAAGCTTCTTAACCATGGCCTCGTCTAGCGGTTGCCGGCGGGGTCTTGGGGGTGCCCGTTGATAGTGACTTGTAGGCTGAGGAACAAACCGTTCTGTTGGAGTTCTGATTCGCTTGCAAGGAGCAGCCCCAGGAGCTTGCGAGGAGGATGAGCTTGATCCTGTCGCTTCTGTCTCCTTCTGAGAGTCGATCTGCCTTTCCCGTTTCCTCCCAGTGACTCGGCTCCTGAGCGCTTCTCTCTCCCTTTGTGGCGAGCTGCTGCTCACACCAAATCCAGATCCCATCCTGCCCGTCTGTGGCGTGTGGAATGCCTGTCCCTGCCGCCCTTCACTCTTTATCGATGCTTTGCTGTCGCCTGCAGCTGCTGGCCCAGCAAGCGACAACCCTTGCGTCCGAGCGTCTGGACTAGCGGCTGCTGGCCAGACTCTGAGGGCTGACGAGCTTGTGAAAGGATCTGATTGACAGCGGCAAGACGTCAGAGGGAGGCGACTACCAGAAGAAGTTGAACCTGCTGGGCAGCAACTGCGGGATGTTGTTATACGCTGAGAGTGGTCGTTGGAGCTCCCTGCTTGTTGGTCTTCGTCGTCGCTGACCAGAATAGGTGAACGCGGTCGTTGGTCACAGCTGGAAGCAGCTCTCTCGCCGAGTTCTTGTTGCTGCTCTGGAGGACGCAGCAGCGGTTTCAGCTGTGGGCTCGTGTCCTGACAGTTACCAGCATGTACCTCGTCTCCATCGGCAGCAGCCAAGTTGCCCCTCATCCCTGCCTCCTCCTTGCTGTCGAATGGGAAAGTTTGGGAGGAAGGCACGTGGCTCTCCACCACAGGGGGACGGGCAATCAGCAGATCCAGCTTCGTCATGATATCACGGTTGCTATCTTGCATTTGCTGCACAGTCTGTGCGAGGTCCTGCACTCGTTGCTCGTTGGTAAGTAGCTTCGCTGTCACATCTCCGATATCCTTGTTGACGCCTTGGACTCCGGGAGGGCTTGCTCTTGGGATCGGAATGTCTCTTGCAAAGTTTGCAGTCTTGCATCGGGAGCTCCGACCTGAGACTCTTCTATGAGGCTTCGCACAGCTCTCACGAGCTCTTCGAGGCTGTTGGACATTGTGAGAACTGACGTGTTGTGCTTTTGGCGCAAATCTTCTACTTGTCGGGTCAGATTCTCCAGTGATGCTTTGAGCTGATCCGGCATCTGGCAGAGAGACAAGCTAACGCCCGAACTCAGGTTTGGTGCTCGAGAAGACTGAAGCCCCTGATTCAGAGCGTTGTTGACCTGACCTCCTGCTGCTGATCCTTGGCCTTGCCTCTGATCGTTCGGTGAGCGCTGCATGGCCAGCCGTTCTGAGAGTGGAGGGACCGGCGACGGGGGTGGGTAAAAGGTGAGCATGATTTCTTTTTTGTCAGAAGGGGTAGGGTACCACTGGCCATCTGGTATTATGATACGGTAGGGTAGGGGAATGGACTGGGTGGAGCCTTCAAGTCTGAGGGATCAGAGGGGGTATGGGTACTAGAATCAGCCTGTGTACGGTCCCGGGTCCTGGAGGAGGGGGTGGGGAGGGGTGGTCAGGTAAGAAACTTAGTACTGAGAATTTTACTCACTTTAATGCGACGGGGTGGGCGGTCGAGAGACAATAATGAAGTAAACGGCGTTCACCGCAATGAATGATGATGATGATGATGATGATGATGATGATGATGATGATGATGATGATGATGATGATGATGATGATGATGATGATGATGATGATGATGATGATGATGGAGATGGAGATGGAGATGGAGATGGAGATGGAGATGATGATGATGATGATGATGATGGAGATGGAGATGGAGATGGAGATGATGATGATGGAGATGGAGATGAGGAGGAGGAGGAGGAGGAGGAGGAGGAGGAGGAGGAGGAGGAGGAGGAGGAGGAGGAGGAGGAGGAGGATGGAGATGGAGATGATGATGGAGGAGGAGGAGAGATCACGAAGGTGACGACGCAGCTATGACGCGGAAGCTGAAGACTTACACAACGGTTTGCTGCCGGTTTGAAGGTGGGTGGCATGCCGTCTCCTCTGTCTTTAAAGTGTTGGCTGCCAGCTTTGCGGCGCGGATGGAGAAAGAGCAGCCGCCGACAAGGAGCCGGCGCTGCCCGGGGCAGCGGACAGAGAAGAATTCCGCCTGCGCAGCGCAATGTGCATGCTCGCGCTTCGCTGACCGCCGGATCAGCAGCGTGATATCCTCACCTTGCACAGCCGCAGGACATACTCGCTCCAGTCGCAGGATAGGGTCTTGCAGTCTACCATCTTTGAGTCATTTTCCTGAGCGAGACCTGAGCCACTCTCCGATGCGAGTCTCGAGCTACTACCCCCTCAAGGCCTTCCCGCACCGCTATGCTCAGATGCTCGACTGCTATCTCCATGGCATGCCGATCTGCCAGTGTCCGACGGAATGTGATGGATGTCAGCGCGAGCTCGATCCCTCCGTTGCTGCACATCATCTCCAGACCTGCAAACGCCGATCCTCCAAGCTTCCCACGGCGCATGACAACCTTACTCGTACGATTCGGTCGATGCTGAACGAAGCTGGTCTTCAGAGCGTCATCGATACAGTCGGGGATCCTCGTTCTCGACGGCAGGTACCCTCCCATCCTCATGACCGCAAGATGAAGGGCGATATCCACATCCCTGGAATCCGCGATCGAGGGTCCGAGCAGTACGAGGGCTTGATGGCGGACGTGACGTTGGTCCACCCTTACATTGGTAGCTCTGCCGACCTGACCAAGTGGGGGGAGGTCAACCTCGACGCCCTCCATGTTGCAGCGTCTGAGAAGATTCGCAAACATCGCTCTGCATATGCCATGACTACTCCTCCTCGAGCGTTCATCCCTCTTGCCATCTCGACGGACGGTACCCTGCATCCTGACACCCTCCGCTTCATCTGGTATCTGGCGGACATCATTGCTCAGCGCTCGATGCCTCTTGAGGATGCGGCGTTTGGTCGGCACTTCGTGCCTGATGACGGACCTGCTGCTGAGGTCTTGGCTCGCAAACGCGCCGCCACCTATCAGCGCCTCACTATGCAGCTGACGCTGGAGGCGCTCTTGTCTGGTGCGAGGCGCATGACGCCCTTGCGGGCGCAAGCACTTCTCGAGCCAGAGGACAGCTCCTCCTCGGACTTTGTCGAGTCGCCCGAGGAGGAGTCTTCGCCGGAGGTCTCCGACTCCGATGGGGGAAACACGTCGAGTGGCCCCGACGATCGGCGCGGAGCTGGCCGCAGGCGTCTCCGTCCCTCACAGTGACGTCGGGTGCCTCCGGAGAGCTCGACACCACTGGGGTGCTTGCTGCTGGTCCGAGCTCGCCTGCTTCCTCCCCGGCATCGGTCGGGTCACGGGCCGGGCATTGCTGCGGCGTCGCCGCCGTCACGGGCCACGTCAGCCACGGGCGGTGTTGGTTTCGGCTACCGCTGACTCGGAGGCTAGCGAGGAGGACTACCTCGAGCGGTACCGTGTTCCTGTGTCCAGCAGTATTAATGGATTTACTGGCAGAAGGTAAAAAGTGCCTCAAGCAAAACAAAGCCTCCCTCCGTCCGCTGCCCCAGGCGGACCCCCGGGCAACGCCGGCTCCTTGTCGGCGGCTGCCCTTTCTCCGTCCGCGGTCGCCCGCTTTGTGGCGGCAGCGGACGTCTCGACTGACAGTGGTCAGTCGGCTGCCTCCGGGTATCGCGTCTAAGGGATGTTATTCCTCCTGCATGCTCCTGCTGCTTGTTGCTTGATTGCCTGACCCTTCGGCTGCTTGTCTGCGCGGCTTCGCGCTTGGGCTGGCGGTGCCGCGTCTGGGTGCCAGCAGTGCTGGTTCTTTTCGGGCTTGTGTTTTGTGTGTGATTGTGCAGCTTCTCGCTGTGCGCTGTGTGCCAGGAGGTTTAGCTTGTTCCTGCCGCGTTTGTTTTGCTTGAGGCACTTTTTACCTTCTGCCAGTAAATCGGACTCCTTCCCGCACCGCTATGCTCAGATGCTCGACTGCTATCTCCATGGCATGCCGATCTGCCAGTGTCCGACGGAATGTGATGGATGTCAGCGCGAGCTCGATCCCTCCGTTGCTGCACATCATCTCCAGACCTGCAAACGCCGATCCTCCAAGCTTCCCACGGCGCATGACAACCTATCGGCACGGATGGATTTCATGCTAGTCAGCTCCGAGCGAAGGTTTTTACCCTCAACGAACTAACAATGGATTGACTGGCAGAAGGTAAAAGAGCTCTCGAAGCTCGGGCTCGTCCAGCATGGCTTCATGTTCAAGACGCTGGTGAGGGCGAGCCATCTCCAGAAGCTGCGCTTCTTCCTCCAGGGGTCGAGCGTCGCGTCATCGATACAGTTAGAATAGGATTTACAGTGGGGGATCCTCGTTCTCGACGGCAGGTACCCTCCCATCCTCATGACCGCAAGATGAAGGGCGATATCCACATCCCTGGAATCCGCGATCGAGGGTCTGAGCAGTACGAGGGCTTGATGGCGGACGTGACGTTGGTCCACCCTTACGACTCGGAGGCTAGCGAGGAGGACTACCTCGAGCGGTACCGTGTTCCTGTGTCCAGCCTCCCTCTGTCCGCTGCCCCAGGCGGACCCCCGGGCAACGCCGGCTCCTTGTCGGCGGCTGCCCTTTCTCCGTCCGCGGTCGCCCGCTTTGTGGCCGGGCAGCCGCTCGTCTCGACTGACAGTGGTCAGTCGGCTGCCTCCGGGTATCGCGTCTAAGGGATGTTATTCCTCCTGCATGCTCCTGCTGCTTGTTGCTTGATTGCTTGACCCTTAGGCTGCTTGTCTGCGCGGCTTCGCGCTTGGGCTGGCGGTGCCGCGTCTGGGTGCCAGCAGTGCTGGTTCTTTTCGGGCTTGTGTTTTGTGTGTGATTGTGCAGCTTCTCGCTGTGCGCTGTGTGCCAGGAGGTTTAGCTTGTTCCTGCTTTGTTTTGCTTGAGGCACTTTTTACCTTCTGCCAGTAAATCCATTAGGACCTTACATTGGCAGCTCTGCCGACCTGACCAAGTGGGGGGAAGTCAACCTCGACGCCCTCCATGTTGCAGCGTCTGAGAAGATTCGCAAACATCGCGCTGCATATGCTATGACTACTCCTCCTCGAGCGTTCATCCCTCTTGCAGCCGACTGACAGTGGTCAGTCGGCTGCCTCCGGGTATCGCGTCTAAGGGATTTTCTTCCTCCTGCATGCTCCTGCTGCTTGTTGCTTGATTGCTTGACCCTTAGGCTGCTTGTCTGCGCGGCTTCGCGCTTGGGCTGGCGGTGCCGCGTCTGGGTGCCAGCAGTGCTGGTTCTTTTCGGGCTTGTGTTTTGTGTGTGATTGTGCAGCTTCTCGCTGTGCGCTGTGTGCCAGGAGGTTTAGCTTGTTCCTGCTTTGTTTTGCTTGAGGCACTTTTTACCTTCTGCCAGTAAATCCTATACTATCTCTTGCCATCTCGACGGACGGTACCCTGCATCCTGACACCCTCCGCTTCATCTGGTATCTGGCGGACATCATTGCTCAGCGCTCGATGCCTCTTGAGGATGCGGCGTTTGGTCGGCACTTCGTGCCTGATGACGGACCTGCTGCTGAGGTCCTGGCTCGCAAACGCGCCGCCACCTATCATCCTTATCAGCGCCTCACTATGCAGCTGACGCTGGAGGCGCTCTTGTCTGGTGCGAGGCGCATGACGCCCTTGCGGGCGCAAGCACTTCTCGAGCCAGAGGACAGCTCCTCCTCGGACTTTGTCGAGTCGCCCGAGGAGGAGTCTTCGCCGGAGGTCTCCGACTCCGATGGGGGAAACAGGCGTCTCCGTCCCTCACTGTGACATCGATACAGTGGGGGATCCTCGACGGCAGGTACCGTCCTCCCATCCTCATGACCGCAAGATGAAGGGCGATATCCACATCCCTGGAATCCGCGATCGAGGGTCCGAGCAGTACGAGGGCTTGATGGCGGACGTGACGTTGGTCCACCCTTACATTGGCAGCTCTGCCGACCTGACCAAGTGGGGGGAGGTCAACCTCGACGCCCTCCATGTTGCAGCGTCTGAGAAGATTCGCAAACATCGCTCTGCATATGCCATGACTACTCCTCCTCGAGCGTTCATCCCTCTTGCCATCTCGACGGACGGTACCCTGTCTCACTATGCAGCTGACGCTGGAGGCGCTCTTGTCTGGTGCGAGGCGCATGACGCCCTTGCGGAATGAATGATGGGGCTCTCTCCCACTCCGTTTTGGCATCATTCTCATAAGGCCGCTGGCCTTTTTTTAAATCTCGTGTATGGCCTTATTTTCTCCTGTGTATTTCTCGCAGCACCTCGCAAATTCTCTTACCATTCTCATGTGAAATATTTTTCCGCACCATAATGGTGAGGGATATTTTTGAGAGATCGTGAGAACTCGCATGAGAAAAATGATGTAATGTTTCAGTGTGTATTTCTGACACTCTCTTAAAATTGTGTTACCATTCTCGTGTGAAATATTTTTCCGCACCAAAATGGTAAAAGAATTTTTAAGAAGTTCAGAAAAACTTCGCACGAAAAAAAATAGAGATATTGTGAGACAAATGGCGCAGGGGGCATGATACCACTAATATAAGGATATAAGTATGGCTAATATAAGTATGGCCTTTTCTAATATAAGTATGGCCTTATTTTCTCCTGTGTATTTCTCGCAGCACCTCGCAAATTCTCTTACCATTCTCATGTGAAATATTTTTCCGCACCATAATGGTGAGGGATATTTTTGAGAGATTGTGAGAACTCGCATGAGAAAAATGATGTAATGTTTCAGTGTGTATTTCTGACACTCTCTTAAAATTGTGTTACCATTCTCGTGTGAAATATTTTTCCGCACCAAAATGGTAAAAGAATTTTTAAGAAGTTCAGAAAAACTTCGCACGAAAAAAAATAGAGATATTGTGAGACAAATGGCGCAGGGGGCATGATACCACTAATATAAGGACAGTCACATGAGATCAAAAATATATAATGTAATTCGATGTGCTGAGGCGGGCTTACAAATAAAATATGCGTTATTAATAAATGAAAAACCATTTTTTATTCTCATATGCTGGTAACAAACGTGAAGAGGTAGAGCATATATATTCAAAGATTAATTTTGAAAATATTGACACAATATGCGAGCCTTTTTGTGGTTCTTGTGCTGTGTCCTATTACATATGGAAGCAATTCCCAACAAAAAGATTTAGGTATGTTCTAAATGATTTAGACAAGAATTTATATGCGCTTCTTAGCTTGATGAAATCAGGAGATGAAAAGAGGATGGAAGAGATAGAGAAAGAGATAAATGATATGGTCAGAGATGCGGATGATGAAATAATTATAACAAAAGAAGAATACAATAAATTCATAAGAAATAAGACACTCGCAGGCTTCATAATGGCTAATAAATATTTTAACATGCGTGCTGGTATGTTTCCAGTCAGGGATTATAAGTCCCGTTTCAATAAAAAGTTTAAATTTTCAGATTATCCAATATATGACTTCTTAACAACAGAAGACATAACTATCTTAAATAAGGATGGGTGTGAAGTTATACAAGAATATGATAAGGATAATGTCTTTATGTTTCTAGACCCTCCATATATAGCATCAAATAATAACTTTTATTCAGAGCAAAAGCTTAATATGTATCAATATTTAGTGAAAATAGGTTTTAAGAATTTCAAGAGCAAGATGCTAATATGTCACGAGAACAATTGGCTTTTCAAGATAATATTCAAAGACTACATAAATGATGAAGAAGAGTACAAAAAGCAATATCAAAACTCTTTACGTAGTGAAGGCAACAAGAAGAAGACAACAACTCACATATGTATTATGAATTACTAATAAAATATGCGTTATTAGTAAATGAAAAACCATTTCTTCTTTCCTTACGTTGGTAATAAGAGAGAAGAGGTTGAGCATATATATTCAAAGATAAATTTTGAAAATATTGACACGATATGCGAGCCTTTCTGTGGGTCTTGTGCTATGTCTTATTACATATGGAGGCAATTCCCAACAAAAAGATTTAAGTATGTGTTGAATGATACTGACAAGAATTTATATGAGCTTCTAACCCTTGTTAGATCTGGAGATGCTGAGAAGATGAAAAAGATTGAGAAAGAGATAAATGATATTATCAGAAACGAGGATGATGAGATTGTGATAACAATTGAACAATATAAAGATTTTATAAAGACCAGTGGATTATCCGGTTATATAATGGCTAATACATATTTCAACTTAAAAGCAGCCCTTTTTCCTATCAAAGATCGTTATAAGTCTCGTTTTAGTAAGAAGTTCAAATTTTCAAACTGTCCAATGTATGACTTTCTTACATCTGAGGATATAACCATCTTTAACAAGGATGGTTCTGACATCATTGAAGAATATGATAAGGATAATGTGTTTATGTTTTTAGATCCTCCATATTTAGCTTCTTGTAATAGTTTTTATTCAGAGCAAAAGCTCAATATGTATGAGTACATAATAATGAGAGGCTTAAAAAATTTTAATAGCAAGATGCTAATGTGTCACGAGAATAATTGGATTTTCAAACTATTATTTAGAGACTACATTAATAGTGATGAGGATGAGTACAAAAAGCTTTATCTGTTTGGAAGAAAGAAGGCAACAACTCACATATGTATTATGAATTACTAATTTTATAAAGTATTAATAAATGGTTTATCAGCTTTTAGAAGAAGGGAAAATTTATTATTGCGAGGCCTTAGAAAGACCTTGGACTAGATTTAATGTGCTAGACACAATCGGTGTCAAGCTTACCCCTCCAAAAAAAATGTCATGGTATAGTAAATTCAAACAATGGCTTCAAACAGCTGGTCAAAGGCCCTTAGAGAGTGGAACGATAAGAACCACGGGAAGAATATGTACTGTATCCCCAAGAAGAACACAAGACCATACGTAGAGGTGGTCAAGATCCAAAAAAGGATAGAACAAGGAGAAGGCCCCGCACATCGCACTCGCAGTCATAAAGGGGTTTATGCTACAAGCATCTAAAAAGCTTTTATCCCCGCTAAAGATCTAATCCATACTCATTCTTAATCTTCACCCATTCACTTCTATATTTATTTGCTTTTTCTTCGTTCTTCTGCTCCCATTCAGAAAATAACTTCCTACCATCTTTTGCCTCTACAACATTCAACACATCGACATCGTCAAAATTTACCTTGTCTTTATCAAAGAATATCACACTGTACCATGTGCCTTCGTTATCTTTGTCTATACGATACACCACACCAATATAAAAACGATGCGAGTACTTTCTTTTGATGAAGGTATCCACTGTGATATCTTTTGAATTACGCGGTGGGTTCCTTTTTGGTGCTATGTACTCAATAGGTTTGTTTGACTTATCCATGCCCTTCATGACCTCATAAATCTTATCTAGATCCTCATGTTTAAACCACTCATTACCATATTGAGCTGTTGTGACCTCTTTCATCTTTCTTTTAACCTCAAGCTCATATTTTTCTTGCGGTGATCTAGTTTGATTTGTGTTTTTAACATATTTATACCACACTCTAAGATGTAACACATGAAAATCACCATCATAATAGCGTTCATAATCTGATAATCTTCTTATAATCTCAGAAGAACCAATAGAAGAAATACCAAGCTTTATCAAATCACCCTTTCCATTGATTGTTTTGGGTGTTCTTATTATATAAAAAGCCGATGTGTCAAGATACTTCGCATATGTGTCCTTAAATTCTGACCATTTAATGCCATCCTTGGCATTGAAAACAATTTCACCGGCCTTGCTGCCTCTTGGCTTTTCAACTTCTGAGACTGTTGATGTGCTGATCATTTAATTTATTTTTATATATTAAAATATAGTCACAATGAGTGGAAACAATATATAAATCAAGTAGATGATTATATAGGTTCTTTGGGTTCTTCTACTCTGCAGCTGACTATTGAAGACATGCAGGAGCAAATTAACAACATTGAAACAACTCTAGGAACAACCACAGATGGTGGCACAGTAAATGACAGCAGCCTCATCGGTAGAATTGAAGGGATCGAGACAACAGTCCAAGACAACACACAGAAACACGAGGCCAACACAACAAGCATCAACAATATCAATCAGGTCCTCTCAGCATTTGAGAATTTCGCGGATGGCAACTATGAACAGGCAGCACTAGATCTGACAAACTTCTTTACAACGGTAGATAACAATTCACAGCAGATCGCACAGCACGTCACAGATATAGCAGGACTAAAAGCCAGCGATAACCAATTCACTCTGACAATACAAGGCCTAGCAGATCAAGTAACAGGCCATCAAACAGACATATCGGGAATTCTTGATACAAACGCTAGCCAAGACCAACGCTTTACAGATGTAGCAGCGGACCTCCTAGATCTACAAGGCCAGATAGACTTTATCAATAACAGCACAGCAGTGCTCTTTGTAGGGCAAGTTCTTTATGAGATTTTAAAATGGAAATTTGGAGCAGCTATCAATGATTTCACTAAGAGAGTATGGGATCGCATAAATGGCAAATACAAAGGAGAAGGTGAATATGATCCAGTGGCCGAGGGCGATACTTATAATACATTCACAGGTGATAGCATCCAAGCCATCCTAGATGAGCTCAATGATATGGCCTCTGTGTATAGATACAATAGCTTAAACAACGCTGCGGGCATCAATGCTGACCCTATCTCAACGTATGGCACAACAATCTATAAATCTTTATTGCTTTATGGCTTGTCTGATGCCAATATTTACCTTACAGGAGATGTCCATTTTGGTTCATTCAGCACCGCCACAGACATATTTACAACAACCAAGAGCCTAAGCAATTATATGGTTTTGAAGGGAGTTAAATCTAATCATTGCTTGAAAATAAATGATGCTGAACAGCTTCTAGCGCCTGAAATAGGCAATGAGCTATTATTCTTAGATTTTAACACTGATGATTTTGAGGAGGAGGCAACAACGCATAAATTAAAACTCAAACTATCTCTTGGAAGTATCATAAAAAAGAATGCTACTGGCGACGCAATTGGAATAGGGACAGACCCAATAGCAACATATATATGCGTGATAGATGGCAAGACAAAAATTCAGGGTATCTTAGAGATTAAAGATGGGACAACAACAAATTATAAGAATGTTAATGAATACCTATTCTCGAAGGGAGTGGATACAAACGATGTTCTACACATAGATAGCACTAATGAGCACATACCGCTCAGATATAATACGGATCATTTTGAGAAGGACGCAACGACATTTCAGCTTGAAAGCAAGTTTGAGAATGCCGGCGTAATCAAATATGACACAAGCCAAGTTTTGAAGACTGTTGGCATCCATACAGATCCTATTAGCACTTACCCAACAGCACACAAGGGCGATATATTGTTTCTTGGTGGAAACATAAAAACAAATGGCAGCATCCAGATAGGCACCTTCAATGGCGGGACAAATACATTCTCAATCATAAAAACAGTAAATGATTATTTAGCTATCAAGGGGGTCAAGGCCGATCATTGTCTTTCAATAGATGAAACAACAGAAAAATTAGAACTCCTATTCAATACCAATGACTTCTATATTGATAACACGGGAGCGGCTCCAACTTACAAGCTGAATAGTCAATTAAGCAAGGTGATTGAGTTCAACACCACATCAAGAACGGTTGGCATAGGCACGACAACACAAACAGGGGTCACCTGTGTCATAGATGGCAAGACAAAGATACAGGGTGTGTTAGAGATAAAAGATGGGGCAACCACTAATTATAAGGATGTCAATTCATATTTATTTGCTCAGGGTGTGAAGGATGCGCATTGTTTAAAGATAGATGAAACAACAGAGAAGCTAGAACTCTTGTTCAACGCAGAAGACTTCTATATTGACACCACATCAACACCTCCAACAAATAAGCTTAATCTCAAACTGAATGAGATCTTACAGTTTAACTCGGCAACAAATTTGCTTGGCATTGGCACGGCACCTGTCTCTGGTATGAAGCTAACAATAAATGGCTCAACTAGGGTTCAAGGCTCATTGTTTATAAGAGAAGGGGCAACAACAAATTACAAAGATGTCAATAATTATTTATTTGCTCAGGGCTTGGATGCCAACGATGTCCTTTATGTAGATAGCACGGATGATCATTTGAAACTACGATACGATACAGCACATTTTACAAAGGATACAACAACATACAAATTAGGCGCAAGCACTTCTCGAGCCAGAGGACAGCTCCTCCTCGGACTTTGTCGAGTCGCCCGAGGAGTCTTCGCCGGAGGTCTCCGACTCCGATGGGGGACACCCTTCGAGTGGCGCCGACGATCGGCGCGGAGCTGGCGAGGCGTCTCCGTCCCTCACTGTGACGTCGGGTGCCTCCGGAGAGCTCGACACCACTGGGGTGCTTGCTGCTGGTCCGAGCTCGCCTGCTTCCTCCCCGGCATCGGTCGGGTCACGCCGGTCCTTGGGCATTGCCGCGGCGTCGCCGCCGTCACGGGCGGCTTCCGCTGACTCGGCTACCGCTGACTCGGAGGCTAGCGAGGAGGACTACCTCGAGCGGTACCGTGTTCCTGTGTCCAGCCTCCCTCCGTCCGCTGCCCCAGGCGGACCCCCCGGCGGGCAGCACCGGCTCCTTGTCGGCGGCTGCCCTTTCTCCGTCCGCGGCCGCCCGCTTTGTGGCGGCAGCGGACGTCTCGACTGACAGTGGTCAGTCGGCTGCCTCCGGGTATCGCGTCTAAGGGATGTTATTCCTCCTGCATGCTCCTGCTGCTTGTTGCTTGATTGCTTGACCCTTAGGCTGCTTGTCTGCGCGGCTTCGCGCTTGGGCTGGCGATCTTGTGTTTTGTGTGTGATTGTGCAGCTTCTCGCTGTGCGCTGTGTGCCAGGAGGTTTAGCATGTTCCTGCTTTATTTTGCTTGAGGCCCTTTTTACCTTTCAGTGCCAGTAAATCCATTCCCTAGGCTCGACTGACAGCGGTCAGTCGCCGGATGCATCCGGGTATCGCGTCTAAGGGAGCTTCATCTCGGACTTCGCCATGCTCCTGCTGCTGGGCGCTGCCGCGTGAGGGTGCCAGCAGTGCTGGTTCTTTTCCGCCCGTGACGGCGGCGACGCCGCAGCAATGCCCAAGGACCGGCGTCTACCACTGACTCGGCTACCGCTGACTCGGAGGCTAGCGAGGAGGACTACCTCGAGCGGTACCGTGTTCCTGTGTCCAGCCTCCCTCCGTCCGCTGCCCCAGGCGGACCCCCGGGCAACGCCGGCTCCTTGTCGGCGGCTGCCCTTTCTCCGTCCGCGGCCGCCCGCTTCTCGCTGTGGACTGTGTGCCTGCCGGTTCAGCTTGTTCCTGCTTGTTTTGCTTGAGGCACTTTTTACCTTCTGCCAGTAAATCCTATACTCTCCCGCTTTGTGGCGGCAGCGGACGTCTCGACAGTGGTCAGTCGGCTGCCTCAGCAGCAGCAGCAGCAGCAGCAGTAACTTCGGCGGTCACCTCGGCACCTGCAGCCCTCGTCCCTCCCACAGCAGCAGCTGCAGGAGTCGGAGCAGCTGCAACCGCCCCAGCAGCCCTCGCGAGGGCGGCGGCAAAGGCAGAAACAGCCACAGCCGCCGCAGCCGCAGCCCACAATGGATCCGCAGCCGCAGCCGCAGCCGCAGCCGCAGCCGCAACACCACCGCCGCTGTCGGCCGCTGCCCTTTCTCCGTCCGCGGCCGCCCGCTTTGTGGCGGCAGCGGACGTCTCGACTGACAGTGGCCAGTCGGCTGCCTCCGGGTATCGCGTCTAAGGGATGTTATTCCTCCTGCATGCTCCTGCTGCTTGTTGTTTGATTGCCTGACCCTTAGGCTGCTTGTCTGCGCGGCTTCGCGCTTGGGCTGGCGCTGCCGCGTCTGGGTGCCAGCAGTGCTGGTTCTTTTCGGGCTTGTGTTTTGTGTGTGTTTGTGCAGCTTCTCGCTGTGGACTGTGTGCCTGCCGGTTCAGCTTGTTCCTGCTTTGTTTTGCTTGAGGCACTTTTTATCTTCTGCCAGTAAATCCTATACTCCTCCAAGGGGTCCTTCTTGGCCAAATGCCGGATCTTCTTATTCCTGCCCTGTCAGCCATTCGTCGAGGAGGCAGATTTATTCCCCTCTCCAAGGGAGCTGATAAACCTGGTCTCCGGCCAATTGTCATCGGTTCTGCACACCGTCGACTCGCGACGAAGCTTGCTTTGGCAGCGATTCGCTCATTTCTTGACCAGCACTTCCTCTCGTCTCACCCTCGAGCGATTCAGTTCGGACTCGATCGAGACGGCTGTCTGAAGTTCTCGCAAACCGCGTCAGCGCTCCTGCCCCTTCACGCTCGCGGTGATGATGAGGATGTTGCCAACCCCACAGTGCTGGTGAGTTTGGATGCAAAGAACGCCTTCAACTCCCTCGACCGCCAGGCTCTCTTCGATGCAATCGAGGGACGTGCGAGTCGCGTCGGACTACTTTGATGGGAGCATCACTGAAGGCGCTCGCTTGCCCTCTTGCGAGCATCTCCGTTTGTTCGCCTCCTACCTCTCCAGCTACTATGGAGACTCTGCTGACCTTCGACTCTTTCACAAAAGTCAGTCAGCCTCCGTTCAGTGTACCTCGGGCGTCTGTCAGGGCGATGTCCCCTCCAGCGTATTTTTCTGCCACAGTATCCACCCCCTGCTCCTCCATATCGCAGAGCTTTTTCCCTCTGTTCGAGTCTTGGCCTATGCTGACAACGTCGTGCTTGTCGGTCCACTCGAGGATGCCGTTGCAGCTACGTCCGCTATGAAGAAGTACATGTTGGCTGATCTGAAGCTCGAGATTCAACCTCGCGAGTCGAAAGTTTACATCCCCTCCTGGCATCAACACCCTGATCTCTCGCAGCTGAAGAAGAGCCTTAAGCGCCGTCTCAAGACTCAACTTCTTCACTTCGAGGTCGTCACTGGCGGGATTACACTTGGCGGCCTGCCTATCGGCACGCGCTCGGATGGATTTCATGCCAGGCTAGTCAGCTCCGAGCGAAGGTTTCTACCCTCAACGAAGAGCTCTCGAAGCTCGGGCTCGTCCAGCATGGCTTCATGTTCAAGACGCTGGTGAGGGCGAGCCATCTCCAGAAGCTGCGCTTCTTCCTCCAGGGGTCTTCTCCGTTTCTCCCGCCAGTAAATCCTATATACCCGCGGGTCCAATCACAGATTCGTCGCTTTGACCTCTCTGTCCACCTGGCGCTTGAGAAATACCACCGCTGGCCTTCCTCGCAGTACCTCGCCGAGTCGCCGCGCATCCCGACCTGCTAGAGTTTGCGAGGTTCAAGCGGGAGCTTCCGCATAGTCGGGGAGGGGACGAGTTCACGCCCTCTGAGGGTCTACACCCCGCTGTTTACTATACGGCTATCGCTCGCTTCCTCGCTTGGTACTCTGACCAGCCGATGTCCCGGACGCTGCCCTCTCCTCATAGCCTGGACGTTCACTGCTCGAGATCTCTCCGTGCCCAGAAACATCCTCTGGCGACCTTCTTCGTTGAGGCGCACGACTTCGTTCATAATGCTGGAGCGATCCTCTACCGTCGTGTGAGGGCTCCTGCACCGGCTGCAGATGGCGCGGCGATCGAGTCCCACCTGCCCCGGCTGCTGTGCCTGATGACGCAGGACGCCCCCCGGCATCTGTGGTACACATCCCTGGTTTGCGCGCTCTCGTCGACTCGTCTCATGAGCACTTCATTCCTCCCCCTGCGCAGCGAAATGTGACCCCTCTTGTCATGCGCGTCTTCCCTCGCCATGTGCATGCTCGCGCTGCGCTGACCGATCAGCAGCGTGATATCCTCACCTTGCACAGCCGCAGGACACACTCGCTCAAGTCGCAGGATAGGGTCTTGCAGTCTACCATCTTCGCTCATTTTCCTGAGCGAGACCTGAGCCACTCTCCGATGCGAGTCTCGAGCTACTACCCCCTCAAGGCCTTCCCGCACCGCTATGCTCAGATGCTCGACTGCTATCTCCATGGCATGCCGATCTGCCAGTGTCCGACGAAATGTGATGGATGTCAGCGCGAGCTCGACCCCTCCGTTGCTGCACATCATCTCCAGACCTGCAAACGCCGATCCTCCAAGCTTCCCACGGCGCATGACAACCTTACTCGTACGATTCGGTCGATGCTGAACGAAGCTGGTCTTCAGAGCGTCATCGATACAGTGGGGGATCCTCGTTCTCGACGGCAGGTACCCTCCCATCCTCATGGCCGCAAGATGAAGGGCGATATCCACATCCCTGGAATCCGCGATCGAGGGTCCGAGCAGTACGAGGGCTTGATGGCGGACGTGACGTTGGTCCACCCTTACATTGGTAGCTCTGCCGACCTGACCAAGTGGGGGGAGGTCAACCTCGACGCCCTCCATGTTGCAGCGTCTGAGAAGATTCGCAAACATCGCGCTGCATATGCTATGCCTACTCCTCCTCGAGCGTTCATCCCTCTTGCCATCTCGACGGACGGTACCCTGCATCCTGACACCCTCCGCTTCATCTGGTATCTGGCGGACATCATTGCTCAGCGCTCGATGCCTCTTGAGGATGCGGCGTTTGGTCGGCACTTCGTGCCTGATGACGGACCTGCTGCTGAGGTCTTGGCTCGCAAACGCGCCGCCACCTATCAGCGCCTCACCATGCAGCTGACGCTGGAAGCGCTCTTGTCTGGTGCGAGGCGCATGACGCCCTTGCGGGCGCAAGCACTTCTCGAGCCAGAGGACAGCTCCTCCTCGGACTTTGTCGAGTCGCCCGAGGAGTCTTCGCCGGAGGTCTCCGACTCCGATGGGGGAAACCCTTCGAGTGGCCCCGACGATCGGCGCGGAGCTGGCGACTCGGAGGCGTCTCCGTCCCTCACAGTGACGTCGGGTGCCTCCGGAGAGCTCGACACCACTGGGGTGCTTGCTGCTGGTCCGAGCTCGCCTGCTTCCTCCCCGGCATCGGTCGGGTCACGCCGGTCCTTGGGCATTGCCGCGGCGTCGCCGCCGTCACGGCTACCGCTGACTCGGCTACCGCTGACTCGGAGGCTAGCGAGGAGGACTACCTCGAGCGGTACCGTGTTCCTGTGTCCAGCCTCCCTCCGTCCGCTGCCCCAGGCGGACCCCCGGGCAACGCCGGCTCCTTGTCGGCGGCTGCCCTTTCTCCGTCCGCGGCCGCCCGCTTTGTGGCGGCAGCGGACGTCTCGACTGACAGTGGTCAGTCGGCTGCCTCCGGGTATCGCGTCTAAGGGATGTTATTCCTCCTGCATGCTCCTGCTGCTTGTTGCTTGATTGCCTGACCCTTAGGCTGCTTGTCTGCGCGGCTTCGCGCTTGGGCTGGCGCTGCCGCGTCTGGGTGCCAGCAGTGCTGGTTCTTTTCGGGCTTGTGTTTTGTGTGTGTTTGTGCAGCTTCTCGCTGTGGACTGTGTGCCTGCCGGTTCAGCTTGTTCCTGCTTTGTTTTGCTTGAGGCACTTTTTACCTTCTGCCAGTAAATCCTATACTATCCCCAGACGCGATACCCGTATAGGATGTACTGGCAGAAGGTAACTGAAAAGTGCCTCAAGCAAAACAAAACATCTGTGTACCTGCCGGTTCAGCTTGTTCCTGCTTTGTTTTGCTTGAGGCACTTTTTATCTTCTGCCAGTAAATCCTATCCTATACCTACCTGTGACTATAGGATTTACTGGCAGAGGGTAAAAAGTGCCTCAAGCAAAACAAAGCAGGAACAAGCTGAACCGGCAGGCACACAGTCCACAGCGAGAAGCTGCACAATCACACACAAAACACAAGCCCGAAAACAAC